AGATGATAATCCGCCATCTTGAATTTTCTGAGAACTTCCAGAGAGGGAAGGCTGTTCTGTTGCTATGACAACTGCTGTGATCTGATTGGCTAGTTTGAATTTCTTTTGTCGTTTCAACCAATCACCGAAAAGTGTTTCACATTTTTGCACTGGTGCTTTACATTTTTGCACTGGTGTTTCAGGAAAACAGCACTGCTCTCAACCAATCAGAAGTAAGAAATGATTGCATCTATATTATTAATGTTCAAAATAAAAAAATATGATGAAGTAATGCACCCATTAAATATTTCTATATGAAGCTTGTGTGGTCGTTTCCAACCTTTCCTACTTATCATATTTTTGTTGWTGTATATGRTACACAATAACGTCACTTACGAAAGACGTCTATAGCAATGCGTATCGGTTCCTCAAGATACACATCATTACCCACATGACAAAAATATCGTCCTGCCATGTCAATTGTCAGGTTTCCCAGGTTTAGTCTACTTTCAATAAAKGTTTCGTTCATAAGCCTGTCTGTTTGACTCAATGATACAGGAAGCCCATCCTTGGTCCATGTAATATTTGGCAGAGGAAATCCACGACCATARCAAMTAAGRWTCGYTCTTTTGCTTGTTAGAGAAAATATGTAATCTCYACTTGGTRCGTGTGCAGTTACTTTCACTGGAATAAAMARAGAAATCATCTAATAATCCTTTCATTTTATGGAATAAGCWATAGACCCCTTGTACAATAGAAATACTTGATCGTGATGTAAATTGTTTTGTTATTTTGAGACCCAGGTGGGGACTTAGTGCAATCATTCGGAAGCATTTGGTTGGCTTCTTTTGACATTTATCGTGATTGCATGGCTCTTGACGTATGTTTTCTTTAACTGTTGCAACTATCTTCTCATCATGTTAATATGCAATAGTATCATCATGATATTTTGATAATATTTTACTGGCGATGTTTTCACTTGAGGGGCTTCTCTCTCTTTACACATATATCTCTAAAGTTGAGAAAATCAGCCCAGAGACAAGGTCTGGGTTAAGAAAGAGCCGTAATAT